CAAGGAAGACACAATCCCATCGTATAGCCCTGCGCCCACCCCTTCGTATAGACAACAAACACAAGCATGAGCGGTCAGCCATCCTCAATCGATGGCGCATCTTCGAGCGTCGTTCCCACTTCGAGCGAAATGGATGACTCCATCGCAGAGGTGGAAGCGAGGATAGGAGAGCAAGTCGAGGCGGATCGCACCATTGCCATCCAAGCGGGCGAGGGCGGCACCGACGTCAAAGCGCACGATTCGCCCAGTCGAAGGCCACGGTCCTCACAAGGCCGCAAGAGCGCGACAGCTGGCTCTTCGAAGGAAAGCGCGACGCATTCAGAGAGCGCACCACAGGCGCCCGAGAGTGCAGCACCGGCGACTGGGCCAGAAGAGCCACTCAACGTTCGCTTCGAAAAGTTCGAAAGGGCGCTGGAAAAGTTCTTGGGATTGATCGACCATAGAGCCAGCGAGAGCGCCATGAAGTCGGTGCTACCGTATCTCGATGCGGAAGAAGTGGTGGACACGAGGAAACGCTTCATCGAGGAGCTCAAGAGTCGCATATTGGTGAGGATACTCGGTCTGCTGCAGTAGGATGGCACTTCACTTCGCTGATCGAATCGCGTGCCGGTCTTTCTCCGTCCGTCCTACTAGGCATCAACGGCAGAGATCGGAAACACCTTTGAGCTTCCGCAGCGCCTGGCAGAGCTGCAGGAGTTGGTGGAAGAGGCAGATGAGCGGATCAGGAAGGGGGCGGTTCCAGGCGAGGAAGATGTGAAAGACGTATGGCGGTGAGTCCTGCTCGTCTGCACACCTCTTGCTCGACTCCCGAGTCAGGATGGCTGACTTGCATGATCGCACAGAGCCGATCTGGACATTGAAACGGCCATCTCGGCCAGATCCGTCGCTGCTCAGCGAGCAAATCTTTTGGCATTGGAACAAGAATTGGCCGAGCTGCAGGACGGAAATAGAAAAGCGCACATTGAAATGAAACGCGTGGCAGGGCGAGCGAACGGAAGGCAGGCCCTCGCCAAGGAAGCACTGGATGCTCTGGATCAGGTGAGCCACAGCATCACGACTGCGTGCCGAAGCGAGTCTGTCCTCCCTGCTGATACCGCAGAACCTGATCACGCTTTGCGGTGCGCAGTCTGTGGCTCTGTTGGAACAGGAATCGCCGGAGAGCGCAGGAAAGCGGGACGGGATCGAAACGCGTGTGCACGCTATAGTCACTCAGCTCATGGCAGATTTGGGCACTCAGAGTCTTCCGACGTAAAAGAAGGGCGCGTCGCGCACAAATACAATAGCGAGAGGGCTCATGTCTATGTACAGTACAAGCGAATCCATGTACTAACTACTCGTGCAAGGTACTGCAAGGGTTCTCTTCGTGATCCTGCCTTGTTCGTGTCCGCCGCTTCTAATTAAGCCAACCAACAACGGCTCGATCTTTTCCAAAAGCGTCTCTCCACACTTGAAGGCTGCGCGTACAACCAGCAAAGAGCTCCACGACGGCAGAAGCCTGATCGTGCCCGACTTCCAAAACAAAACTGGGCAAGGGGCTTTGCCGGTCGCGCGGCGGTCGCACAAGCCTGCCAGAAGAGATGAGCTGCGCAAGACGTTTGTAGAAGATTAGACCTGAACGGATGTGAGGCTCGGGCATTGCGTGTGCTGGAAGACGCTGGTTAGGATAGTCCCCTACCAACGCCAATCGGTCTTCCCAATTCTTGACGCTAGCATCTAGCTCTTTCCAATCACTTGCAGAAATGTAAGGCGGGTTGCAAACGAGCAGATCGAAGCCCTGGATGTGCTGCGCTGGAAGAGAATGGCAGACTTTGTCCACGTCGTCATCCACGAAAAGGTCGCCCTTTAGGATTTGGAGGTCTACGCATTCGTGCCAGTCGGACTTGCAGCGATTTGCATTTCGCTCAGCCAAAGCCACTGCTTGGGGAGCGACGTCTACCGCTCGAATGTGCGCTTCGAGCAGGATCTTGTTGTCGTTGCGCAGCTTGAAGAAGATGTCGGCGAGCAGCAAGGCGATGCAGCTAAAGAACGAAGAATTCCAGAGTATCAGCGCTCGAGCTGACCTGCCCAACGGCTGGATTGCGCTCCTACAATAGTGCTTCGCTTGCTGCACTCACCCGGTTCCGGTACAGAGATCCAAGAGGCTCATGTCGAAAACACGACGGTGGTCCTTGACGTGTGCCTTGAGCAAGTCGCCAAGTCTCAACGTCCACTCTTCCGTCTCGTGTCTCGGAATCAAAACCGGTGCCTTGCACTCCACTTTTATAGCTCCGAAAGGAGCATTACCAAGCACATAGGCGATCGGTTCGCCATTCTTGAGCCTGTGCAGCGCTCTCAGCGTTGTCCTGTAGTTATCTCGAGGAGCGAGGTTCCTTTGATGATGCTCCGAGCGGACCCACTTGAACAGTTGTTTAGCTTCTTCATGCGCTTCTTGGGCCGTCGAGCCGTTGCTTTGAAGGTGCTGCGTGAGATCTGCCAATGCCCTCGAGAGGCGTGATACGTAACGCTCGGCCGAACGGGATGACGAGTGTATGCGCGCGCCGCAAGCTTGGGATTGGATGCTCGAAGATGTCCGAATTTTCAAAAGCTGCGTGATTGAGGACGTGCAGTGCTTTGCGAAAGTCGAGCCCATCATTGACTTCAACATCAGCGCCCTTCGAACCATCTCGCGCAACGCAGACTACTCCTCAAGTCTCGAACAATCATAAACACCCAATCGTCACCGGACGACGTCGATGTTCATAGTGATCGCTTTGGCTTGGGGTCCTGGATGCAGGCAGCTC